AAAATCGCATAACAGCCGAGCATACACCCAGCAGCGCTGCTGATGCCTGAACGGTATGTGGAATGAAGTGGGCGGGCATCGGGAGGCCACTATGGCACGGGGCAAGCACTATGGGCAGTCTATCTGAAGTGTACCTGGCGTATAAGACGACCCCCCACTTGGAGGCATATTTTTCAGGGCCAAAAAATCGTCTTATACGCCGGCAAATATGGTAGTTCTTTTATTTAACCTAGAATTGTTGACCACTTACTAGATTCAAAAAATATAGGTAGCTGCTAGAAGCTGAGAGGGAATGCACAAGTAATAATGGTTGTAATTTACTGAGTGTCTTCTATGTGTCAGGCACTCTGCCGGGTGCTTTATTTTAATGAGCACGAATTCGCCCTACAAACCCTTAATGTGGTTGTTGTTTATGTCCATTGTATAGATGGGAAAACTGAGGCTCAGAGAGGTAAAATAAGTTGAGTGAGATACCGTCACTATCCACAAAGGTGTGTGAAAGCTCCCAGGAGGGAAGGCAAGCACGCAACCACACGAGGGAGAGATGGAGAAGGAGAGTGTGGGCTGAGGGCAGGCAGGCCCAGAGCGGGGCCAGGGGAGGTCGGAATCTATATGAATGATGACCACTTCGACGTGGCTCCCAGCGACTATGAGACGAGTCAGAGAGCAGCCAATTCTAACGTAGGCTCTCCCTCCTGAAAACAGGAAGGGCCTAGCCAGCACCGTGAAGGCAGTGCCCTGGCGCACGGCAGCAGACAGGCATCCACGGGCTGACCACAGCCCTTGACCCTCGGGAGCAGGCCCACTCTGCGAGACTCTGGAGCTCCTGGCTTCACGTTGCTCAGAGGCCAGGAAGAGCAAAGCACCCCTGGCATTTGTTTGGCCTGAATACACTTATTAGTCAGTAGAGCATTGGGGCGGGGAGAAGATTAGGGCCTTAGGGATCAAGATGAATTCCTCATCGGTGTTATTTCTCCCCTGCGAGTCCTAAATCCTTGGCTCTAGCCAAACAGCTCTGATGCTGGCCACCCCCAGTGCCTTTATCTCAGAGACTTTGTTACATGCCCTAAATGTATCACCTTTCCTCTCCCACCACTTTGCCAAGCTGGAACCTCCCCCCTCTAAGCCATAGCTCAAGGATACCTCCTCCAAGAAGCTCTCCCAGATTGATCAGCCTCACTCTCCCCAGCATGCCATTCTTTCCCAAAGGCTGTGCTCCTTCTTTCTCTAAACTGACCCCGTCTTCTCCCTGCTCAGCTCCAGGTCCCCCCGCGGGCATCAAAGCCGTACCTTCATCTGCCAGCAGCGTGGTGGTGTCCTGGCTGCCCCCTGCCAAGCCCAACGGAGTGATCCGCAAGTACACCATCTTCTGCTCCAGCCCCGGGTCTGGCCAGCCGGTAAGCGGGCCCAGGGCTGAAGGGTAAGGGGACAAAAGGAAGAAAAAAGTCCCCTGTGGATCAGCTGGCGTCCAGGCCAAACCCTGGGGCTGTGTCTGTCTGTGTTTCTACCTGGGTTCAGGGATAGGAATGGGCACTTGTCACACGAGAGTGGCCGAAGCCTCACCCAGCGTCCATCTGAGTCAGTCCTTGCTCCAGGGTGGCAGGGTTTCCCAATCCCTGGAGGCTCCTTCAAGTCAGGCGTCACGACTGGGCAGGCCCGAGAGGGAAACCGGGGCCGAGGCCCTTCTGGTCTGACTGACCAAGAAAACCCCTGCAGGCCCCAGAGCTGTTGGTTGCCTGGGCACTGGCTGGTCCGTGTCTCTAGAAAGGGGGTGCTTTTCAGCATGGTCGGTCTGGGCGTGGAGGCTGCGGGCTCTG